CAAAGGTGGAGACCACATTATTCATTAGTTAGTGATAAGCTGATAACTGATAATATGTGTTATTTGAAAACAAGTGAAAGTTTGTTATGGGTGGAGAAGATCTTTGTAATCATGACTAGATTAGAGTACATTGGACACACTAAATTACTCCTAAGTAAGAAGAATATATGATACATTCTAATAGAAATGAGTTTTATGGGTTTTGTGCAGTAACACGTGAAAGGGAGGGTCACTGTGCTCTTATAAAATGCACCTCCAAAGTATCCTATCATAAAATACATTCCCCTGCTCCTTAGCTGGATTGATAATTCAGGTGGATTTTTTTTAATCCAAATACTAAGGATGAATGTGCTCTGTTTTTCTGTACTTGCTATTTTATGCAGGTTTGCTTCAAGTGCAGGTAAGTGTGTTCAGTTGTGTAAATGTCATCTTATTTATCATAAAAACAGATTTACTGTTAAACCTGATGCTGCTGAATTTAGGTAGTCCATCAATATATCATTTTAGATGTTAATTTTAGGATAAGACCTGCGAGAATGAATACTTCGTTTACGAAGTGCATCAAGATTTATGAGAATCTGATAATGAGAGTTGTTGATTTTTGATTTGTAAGATTGAAATTAATACAACATTATTGCATAAAATAATACATTTGTGGATAAGCAGATTTAAAACACGGAATTATACGCCTTTGAAGGTTTTAGATGAGCAGTTAAAATCTTCTTAACTGACTGACCTAAATATAGAAAACATGCATTGGTCATTGTCTGTTTTCATGTACATGTGCAATCAATTAAATGTGATTAATATATTACACTACATATAAATTCGTTTGCAATAAGTCAACTTGGTTTCCTTTCAGATTGGTGCTATCAGTCTCAGGTATCTTGCAACAATCATTCATGCATAGGTGAGCATGTGCCTTGTTCGGTGTTTTATATTAAATTATGATTTCTGAAGGATCACGTGACATTGACGACTGGAGTAATGATGCTGAAAATTCAGCTTTGCCATCACAGGAATAAATGTCATTTTAAAATATATTCAAATAGAAAACAGTTATTTTACATTTTAATAAACCACACAGAATTTCTGTTTTTACTCTGTTTTGATTTACAAAATGCATCCTTGATGAGCAAAAGAGACTTATTTGAAAGACATTAAATAAACCAAACTTTTGAAACAATATTGTATGATTTATATTAACAGCATGACTTTTTTATAGGACCGGATGACTGGGCATCAGTAGCCACAACCTGTGGAAATACAAAACAGTCACCCATTAACATTGTAACAAAGAAAACTCTCTTTGACAATCATCTAACCCCAGTGAAGTTTACAGGCTACCAAGATACAATCAATACTCTCATTACAAACAATGGACACACAGGTAAGTTACTCTTAAGTATAGCCTACATTTAAATGGTGAATATCATTTACCTATTATTGGCAACTGTATATCAATTTCACTTTATAAACCATTTTCGCCATATATTTTATCATCTGTAGTGCAAGTTAATTTGCCAGACAGAGCAGCAATTAGTGGAGCCAATTTAGGAGACAATTACAAAGCTCAGCAGCTTCACCTGCACTGGGGCAAGAACGGTGGACCTGGATCAGAACATACTATAGATGGAGAGAAATATCCTATGGAGGTAACAGGCTATTGAGATATCCATCTTATTTTTAATGTAAGAGCAGGCACGTCCATTTTGTAAATAGAGTGTGCATGGCTTCCGGTATCATCCGCTTTCAGTCATTTTAGCTCTACAAAAATAATCCGTTATGCTGCTTGATATTGCAAAGTGCTAGTTGTTATCATACTATTTGAATTTATTAACATATTCATAAACACTCTGGTTTATAGCACAAATAGTTACCGGTTACTGCACATTGTCAGCGGCTACTGAATCGGAAGTTGCGCAAATTCACACAGAAAATTAGGCTATTTGGAAATAGCTTTATTTATGTGGAAACATCGCAAAATAAGGTGGACAGACATGTTTTATTCCTACACTTATCTGTGAATCGATAAGAAACTAAGGATGCATTTTGTATCTTTAATAGCTTCACATTGTACATATAAAAGAAAAGTACAACTCTGTGGAACAGGCCATTAATGACCCGTCTGGAGTTGCTGTTCTTGGATTTTTTTACGAGGTAAACCCACATTTTCTAAATGTTTGTTACTTGCAGATAATAAAACAGCGTTTTATCGCATGCATCTTATTTTACAGGAGTCACAAAGTGCCAATAAAAAATATGATGGCCTCATAAATTCTCTGAAAAATATTACACATCCTGGTAAGGTTATTTTATATACCTCTAAGGTTTAATAAATATGTTAATTTATTGCTTTTTGTTTGATATACAGCAGTGCTAAACATAGTCACTCAAGGTCGCAATATCTCAAATACGGGAGGAAGCTGTTTGATAATGTATTATTATTTAGACAGGCTATACTTAGAACAAAGAACGGGAACTTCATGACAACTTGTAAAACATCTTTTTTAGGCACTAATGGAACACTGTCAGCTGTATCATTAGACATGCTCATTCTCCCCCATAATGAACTGGAGAGGTACTTCCGCTACCAGGGGTCCCTCACCACACCAGGCTGCTCTGAAGCTGTGGTCTGGACAATATTTGAGAAAGCGATACCGCTCAGCAAGGAACAGGTCATTTGTTTTGTGTATAAACAAGTGAAACTTTTACACATCATCAGAATAAAAGAAAACCTTATTATCTTTGTCTTGCAGCTTTCTGCATTTTCAAGCCTGATGTTTTCTGACGGGACTGCCATGGTAAACACATACCGACCCATTCAGCTGCGGGCTGGACGTGAAGTGTATTATTCTAGGAGTTATGTTTTTTGTGTTAGCACTGCCTTATTGGTCAGCTCTGTTTTCACATCCTTCTATGTTCTCTCTGTCTAACTTATGGTTATCTATTTGGGGTTTTGCTCTGAAGCAAGTTATTTATCATTCATCAATAATTCATGGCAAATCAAACTTTATAATCGTTTAGCCATGTGTGGCTTCAAAATGTAGGCCTATGTAGCATAAAATTATCTAGTATGAAAGACAGGTAGTCAACTCTCCACATCCAACGTCTGAGGTCTTCTCAAAATGTTCTATCTGTACCTAATGAAAATTAATTCTATAAAAATCTGAATTTTGACATCCATTGAACTTTCACTGAATTAACTGTTGTGGGAAAAAAAAAACATTTAACTCTGTACCAAATTTTGCGTGCAACCGTTACTGCACAATATTCCCTTTTACAAGAATGTAGAATGCTTGATTTGTGGAAAGTATAAATTAACAAGCACAAAATACATTGTATAACATTATACAGCATATAGATGACATAGAGGAACATGGTTGCTCATGTGATATTATGAGACAATACTTTGAGAACTGGTCTTGGTGATTTTTATCATTCTAATTACTGTATTCTTGTTTTTCTGCATTTGTATATGTTCGATCCAAATTATAAAACAATAAAAAGAAATTTGACAAACAAACAAACAAGGTCATACAATGTTTGTTTGTTTCAGAATGAATAACTAACCCTCCAAAATTGTACAGGCTGAACACTTTTTACTATTTATTGCACCTGTTACAGTCTTATGGGATAAGAAATTCTCAGAAGACAGATTATTCATTGACATAACAAGTTGGGCGATTTTTTTTATTGGTATCAAAATATCTGGCAACCGAAAGGAGAACTGAGATGGAGAGAAGGAAATGGGAACTATAAGAATTTTAAATTCAAATAATAAAAACTTTATTTTTGTTACGTATCCGGTCCGTGGGCTTCAGGCCGATTGCCACTAGAGGTTATTCTCCCATTACATTGACTCACACCACACAGACTGTTACACATCACCCTGGACTGCATTTCCCATCAACCATTGCACTGATTACACGCACACAGCTGAATTCACTGATCACACAGCCTTCACTAATCACACGCTCACCTGAGAGCCATTACTCACTCTATTTAACACCCACTCTGTTCCTGTTCGGATTGCCGAGTATTGTATAGCGTTTATCACTCTCATAGCGATAGCTACTCTACGGAGCCTGTCTAGTTTTTCCATAGCCTTATCTTAGTCTTGCCTTGCCTGTTTTCTTGTGTCCTGATCTTGGCCTGTGTATCTCGGATTCCCCCTCTCGTCTTGCCCTACTTGGATACTGTTTGCCCATGCCTGGACCTTTGCCTTGTACCTGGATTTATCTCTCTAGTCTCGCCCTGTTGATTCTGTTCGCCGATCGTAGACCCACACTAGCCCTAGGTTTATTCTTGTGTCTTGCCCTCTATATACCTTTTGCCATTGTCTGACCCTTGCCTGTTTCTGACCACGTCTCTTAAATAAAAGCTTGCAGATGGATCCTCACGTCTCGTCAGCCCCGTAACAATTTTGAGAGGGAGACAACATCATAAAGACTTGGAAAAGCATAACCATTCATTCATTCATAAACACACACATACCACCTGTACCTCTTTTCATTATAAACTATTAAAAAGACTATTAGCTATCAGAATTTATATTTTGTTTTATTTTTTATTTTTTATATATTGAAAAGAGAGTAACAAATACGTACCAAATAAAATAAATAGCCTAGGCTTAATAGAATATTTATATAATAGGCCTATAGTCAGTTAAGCCTAGCTAAAATCACTAAAATCAGATAAACGGATAAAAACAGAAACAAAACAAAAACAATGCTGAACGTGTACTTTACGAGAGTGTGTTTACGAGTGACCTGGACCTGGCAACCCTGATCAATGCGACCACACAGTCAGCTGCCCAGCACTTGACCTTCGTGAGAGTAACAAGTAACATGGATCGCTGGAGAGGCAGGGTTGCTCTAGTCACTGGAGCTTCAGTGGGAATCGGAGCTGCAATCGCAAAGTCTCTTGTCCAGCATGGCATGAAGGTGGTCGGCTGTGCCAGAAATGTGGAACAAATTGAGGTAATGCACCGTTATAGCATTGCGAGAAGTGAATGTTTATGCGCCGGTGTTCTGACGATTTGTGCTACCCTGTCGGATTTTGCTACCTCCCATTAAAACAAATGGTAGCATAATTATATGGGAAACAGAAGCAAAACAAAAAAACAATGTTGAACGTGTACTGTACGTGGGTGTGTTTACGAGTGACCTGGACCATATAGGACCATTTTCCCATATAGAGCCCATATAAATGTGATCATTTGGATTGTTCACCAAGGCGTTGAAGTGTGCATTAATAATGCTGGTGGTTTGGCTCTCCAGGAGCCTCTGTTGAGCGGCAAAACGAGTGGCTGGAAGACTATGATGGACGTAAGTAACACTGTAGCGACTCAAGACATCGACTCGTTTTTGCGAATCGGTTCTTTCCAATAGCTCATTTCAATCTAGCGATGGCTGTTTTTGAATCCCTGTTTCGTGAAGCTCCGAAACTTTTGGAAATCATTTGTTTCGAACCCATGGTTCTGGGCGCGTATCAAACTGTCAAAATCACGTGATTTCAGTAAGGAGTGCTCAATGCTCAATGCTCAAAAGTTCAATGGTTTGCCGTTGAGGGCCGATCTCTGTGAACCCATGAATGAGAACGCCCCCTAGCGGCGAACTCTTGGCGGTTTTAGACGAGCCATCCATAAAACAAAACAAACCCCGCAAATGAAGAACACACAGGGCCTATACAGACACGTATTTAATGGTATTTGATGATTTGTTAATTTGCATTAATTATACTTTGCAATGGGGTGGTTTTTTTTGCCTGTACACAGATTCCAGCCTGTACAGGGTCAACAAAACATTTCATATATTTGTGTGTTTTAGCATGAGTGGATACCGAGTCGTCAACAATGCTGATGCACACTTCTACACTGCCAGCAAATATGCAGTGACGGCTCTCACAGAAGGTTTGAGGCAAGAGTTACGAGAGGCCAAAACCCACATACGTGCCACAGTAAGAGCAGGAGGATCAAGATGTGCTTCTGTTGAACACTTTATTTATGTAATATGATTATTGCATGTCCAAAGACTTTGTAGGAGCCATTTTCTGTATTGTAGAAATTTTTTTGTCCACTGTGTGGCGCTAAACCATAGTATAATTAGAGCACCTGTGTAAACTAGAGCCAGGTGGAGTTGGTAATGGGGAAGTGCACGGTTTTTGACCGTGCTAAAGGGTAACTTGCAAGAATGTAGATTGTGCAGTATGTGGATATGTGCTGTGTTTAAGATATGCCCACTATGTGTACATGATGTTTATGACCACGAAGGAAGGAGAGACAAAGATTGAGGCTTTGTTTATTCACTTGCACAAAATAAAGACATTCTGCTTGGATCTACGCCAGTATGCATGGACTCTGTTTTTGCACGCGTTAAATATGTGCTCACTCCTGTTATCAGCAACAACGGCTTAAAGGAAAGCCGTAACAGACTTGTTGGCTCTTGTGCGCTCTTTCTTTAACAGTGTATTTCTCCTGGCTTAGTGGAGACAGAATTTGCCTACCACCTCTTTAGTGAAAACCCAGAAAAGGCTGCTGCTACTTATAAAAGTATAAAGGTATAGCCAAATACTGATTCCTTTCTATACATGGTTGTAGATCATCATTTAATGTTTAAATATTTAAATATCATATTTTCAGTGCCTACAAGCAGCTGACATCGCAAACGCAGTGGTGTATGTCCTGAGTGCTCCTCCTCATGTTCAAGTAAGCATCATCCATCACTGGAGAAAACAATATTGTGTTGTTAGTTTTTGCTAACATTGTTCATTTATACAGGCAGTTTATAATCAGTTTGAGCAGTGTATGGTAGGTATTTACACAACAAAATTATAATATGGGGGTTTTTGCCCCCATTTTTCATGAGCTGAACTCAAAGATCTAAGACTTTTTCTATGTACACAAAAGGCCTATTTCTCTCAAATATTGTTCACAAATCTGTAAATCTGTGTTAGTGAGCACTTCTCCTTTGCCGAGATAATCCATCCACCTCACAGGTGTGGCATATCAAGATGCTGATTAGACAGCATGATTATTGCACAGGTGTGCCTTAGGCTGGCCACAATAAAAGGCCACTCTAAAATGTGCAGTTTTCTCACACAGCACAATGCCACAGATGTCGCAAGTTTTGAGGGAGCGTGCATTTGGCATGCTGATTGCAGGAATGTCCACCAGAGCTGTTGCCTGTGAATTGAATGTTCATTTCTCTACCATAAGCCGTCTCCAAAGGCGTTTCAGAGAATTTGGCAGTACATCCAACCGGCCTCACAACCGCAGACCACGTGTAACCACACCAGCCCAGGAACTCCACATCCAGCATCTTCACCTCCAAGACCGTCTGAGACCAGCCACCCGGACAGCTGCTGCAACAATCGGTTTGCATAACCAAAGAATTTCTGCACAAACTGTCAGAAACCGTCTCTCACTAACACAGATTTAGACAGATTTGTGAACAATATTTGAGAGAAATAGGCCTTTTGTGTACATAGAAAAAGTCTTAGATCTTTGAGTTCAGCTCATGAAAAATGGGGCAAAAACAAAAGTGTTGCGTTTATAATTTTGTTCAGTATACTTTTCATTTCATGATTAAATTCTTAATGGTTTTCTGTTCCCACCTCTAGATTGGTGACATTCAGATGAGGCCTGTGGAGTAGCTGACATAAACTGAACAGACAAACAGGATGAAGAATCTCTGACTAATCTTTATCATCTTATTAATAGCCCATGAATGGTATAAAATATGAACTGTAGAGCTGACAAAAGCCACAAGAATGACCCATAAACAATTTCTGCACTCCAAACCTTTGAAATGCAAATAGCATCTGATCATGATCTGATCATGAAGTTTATTACCTTTTTATAACTATTTTAATGACTATTATTATGTACGTTGTAAAAAAAAGAGAAATAATTTAATAAGCATCAATGGTACTTTGCGTTAAGTATTGAGGCAGAATCAGAGTAATTTATTTTGCTTGGCATCATAATGAATGAACATTTACAGATAAACAAATATTGTGTAGAATGTTAAGGAAATTTGATACTACTTTATTTGTTTCTCTTCATTGCTGTGCCTGCAGTTTTGAACTAATGTTCTGAAATGAGGTGTTAAATAATAAAAGGAGGGAATTATGTTGTGCTTATCTTTTTGAGGTGTTTGTGATGAAACTATCAAATAGCTCTTTTTCAAGTCAAGGAGAAACAAAAATGATTATATCACAAACATGGCTGAGGACTTAAGGTATGTTACAGACACCAAATAAATGAATTTGCAACTGCTTTTATTAAAAAAAAAAAAAAAACTGATGTGATGTATGAATTTTTTTCTTATTTTGCTGAGAAGCCCACCAATAATGTAGTATAGTGACATTACAGGAACCTCTAAATATTTTAGTGCATAAAAACTGAATACAGTTAGCATTAAGGTTTCAGGCAAAATTATATCATTTCCATATTCTGCATTAAATATTGATATTTATGTTACATTTTCATGCATTTCGAATAGCATTTTAGGAACGTGACGCTTTGAAACTAAAGAGACTATGCAGAAGTGCTATTCAGCAACAATCCTAACGGTTAAACACGTTTTACTGAACTGAATTTTACTGTTACACTGGAAAATACGGAAGTAGAACATAATAGCAAGCTATTGCAACCCATGTTTGAATTGCAATCATTTCTTGTGACTGCAAACCCGCAAAAATCTCGGAGGAGCTGACAGGATTCAGGTGCGCTGATGTAGCACAGTAGCAGAATCGGCGTGCATTGCTATTGGCTAGATGAGTAGCTATACATTGACAGAAGGGGATGCAGTGAAGATCACTGCAAACTGGAGAAGGTTTTCTGTATGAGGTGTGCGAACTTGTAACATGGATCGCTGGAGAGGCAGGGTTGCTCTAGTCACTGGAGCTTCAGTGGGAATCGGAGCTGCAATTGCGAAGTCTCTTGTCCAGCATGGCATGAAGGTGGTCGGCTGTGCGAGAAATGTGGAGCAAATTCAGGTAATTTACAGTAGGCTATGCATTCGTAGTAGTGGAATAA